TGTGTGTGTGTGTTGTGTGTTATGTGTGTGTGTGTGTATGTGTGTGTGTGTGTGTGTGTGTGTGTGTGTATGTATATATATATATATAGTATTCTCGTGAATACACTAATAGATAGAATATGCTAGTTTTTTTTCTGGGTATTCGTCTACATTCCTACATGGGGTGAGCTTGTCAAATGGCTTCGTGCACGGCCACTTGTACCTTGGCAGCAGCAGCCTTCTGCGTGAAGTGCTGACTATTCTTTGCGTCCATATTGCTATATATTGGCACACCCGCTGCTTTCGGCTATCTTGAGGTCATATTCCGAATGGAACGTGCACTGATTGCTATACGTACATCGGAGTGTATAAATTACCTCCCCATATAGTATTTAGGTAATGAAGTATTTTAACGTACAATACATATGCATATATCTTGGGTTCTATGGCATATTTTCAAACCATATTCTCGTTGAAGTCATCATGTAAATAGTGTAAATTTAGGTCTCTTGGTACATATACGTTGAACGTAAACGAGTAACGTATTACTATTTAAACGTTGTAACGTATATGTAGGGTAGAATGGGTCTGGCCTAGAACGAAAGACAATAGGACTATATTTTGATATAAGTTTTAACACCATATTGCACCTAAAACCCAAATATTGCACTCATATCAAACATACACGATCAACATGGAATGCAAGCTTTTTACACGTTACAACGTAAAACAGATGTCGCAGGTGAGTTGGTACCTGGTGGAGAAATACTTGACTCTACCATATGCTACAAGGCAGTGAGAGTGTATTTCGTCTGTGAAACAATCACTGAACACGCACATTAAACTCTTTTTACGTGCTCTATCTATATATAAAAAGGATAATGAACAAAATGGCACTTAAAACAACTATGCCTAGTAGGTGCTCCGGGCAATCGATCAGTCAACAGCGACAGTGGCTGATTAGGTGGTCTGCAGACAATCCCGAAGTTCGAATCAAACGGAGAAGTACACAATCTGGCGTCTTCGAGAAAGACGATCAATACACAGTGCTCTCCCATGTATGTTAAACGCACACTGATTTAATGTGATAAGATACATTCTTTGCCTTAATTTATATACAAATGACCATAGCATAAGTATGTTTACTTCAACTGACGACTGCAATTTCTGTATCGATTCAGGTCCATATGTAAAAATTTACATATGTACATATGTATGGTTGTATATATGTATAAATATATATATATATAAATATGAATATATATATATATAAATGTATATATATATATAAATATATATATATATATATATGTGTGTGTGTGTGTGTGTGTGTGTATGTGTGTGTGTGTGTGTGTGTGTGCGTGTACATGTATATGTATATGTGTATATATATATATATATATATATATATATATATATTTATATATATATATATATATGTATATATAATATATATATATATGTGTGTGTGTGCGTGAGAGTGTGAGTATGCTCTGCGTATGTATATATATATATGTATGTGTGTGTGTGTG